GACTGACCCTGTGAAATACATATATACATGTACATGGCTTTATTGGTGCCATATAATGAACACATATAAAGAACACAAGTATACTGTATGTACATTGTTATTGCATTCCACTATTTATGCCACATTACCTGAATTGTTTCTACTAAACATAAGTGAAAAAAGAGTGAATTTTCTAGATGTTGAAAGTCATTAACTGTCACAAGAGCATTCATGAATCAGTAAAGATGTTCAAACACAGTGCCGTAAGTACCTTTTGTTAACCAAACACGAGGGCTGGTGATTGGACCATGTGCACACTTGTTAAATAAACGGTTTGGAAGCTCCTTGTGCTTGTTGATGATATGTGACAAAAGGCACTGAAATTTTGCCAGTATGACTTCCCCTTGGTTAGGCATAGTTGAGGTGACTGACCAGTACAAGTGCCTCACACATGCCTTCCGCCATTTCCCAATTACCTCACACCCCTTCTCTTTGCTTAACTTGATAAGAGCCTTCTGTATTTCTATTTTGGAGGGAAAAAATGAGTGCAAAGTAAGGCTTTCCATGTGATACTGTACAAAAAGTGTTATAAAAATTCTAGTTTTTCTCAAATGTGTTCAATTTACCACCTGATCCAATATATCCATAATATGCACTTGCTCTGTATTAAGCTGACCTAGCAGGAAAACAGTAATAAAGAACTAGCACCAGTGTATGTAGTATTCACAGACTGGTATGAATCTTACTTTTACTAATGTGCCATAGGTCAAAGAAGTGGTCAATGACAGGCTTCCCCAGCTCTTTGCACTTCTTTGGACAAGTCTCCCGCATCCACTTGGCTATTTGCATATGTCGATCAGAAATAAAGGCCTTTATAATCATGCCTGTGCCAAGCAGGAAGGCAAAAGCCTTTTGGTGGCCTGTAAATTCCATGTTGCTGCTGCTACCGGCTTGATTGGCCTAAGAAACAGTCAGTTTCAATTGGCAATTTTAACATTCATTGTGCCATGACATGTTGAATTACATGTACACTGTTAACATACAGAAATTTTCACATTGTGAAACATGCAATAGTTGTATTATCCACAAAAAAACATGGTGTAATTTGTGGATTTTGCAAAGTTATTGAAATAAAATTACTATTAGTAATACTAATTGATATTTCTGGTACCTGGATCAGTACAATATGGATGATGAGGCCCACAGTGCAACAAAATATGGTGTAGGTTCCATATTTTGCTGAGTGGCCCATACTGTCGTGGCGGCCATCCCCTGCAAGCACAACTTCTTTACCATTCAGTTTTTCCAGAATCTGAGCCTGGTAGTTGCGCCAAAACTTCATTATTGATGGTATTAGGAGATGCCTCTGATGGTAATAATAAGTGGGTTGGGAATACACAAGCATCCCCATGTGCTTGAACACCAACAACACTTTGTAAACAGAAGCACCTGCACAAAGGATTGCGAAGCTCAACAGAAGGTTTCCAGCAGGAAACCTTCCAAGGAGATACGGCTGACTCTGCCAAACGTAACTTCCCTGGCACATGCTGCAAGTTGTCTTAATCGTTATCATTGTCCCTGTCTGTGACACACTGATATGAGGACTTGTGGCAAAGCACAGGTGGCAGTATTGGAATAGGAGCAGTAACTTTGATAAGAAGACAATTCCTTTTGGTTCCTGTTGCACATTCTTTCCCTCACAAGTCAACCTAAAAGAAAAATAAAAGAAAGCAGGGTGGGCGGTAATCAGTCTTAAACAAGAAAAACCAACTGCAATAAGTGCTTTTAATAGTATTACTTGAAAAGTAGCTGTTACAGTAGCATAATTCTTACCTTGGTTTTTCACCCTTTTCACTGTCATCATCATCTCCAGTTTTCATGTAAGTGGCATCTAATTCAATGTCAGGTGACCACAATGGGTCCCCTTCATCAACATCCATTGCTTGCTCTCCCTCCCCAACTGCCGCATCTTCATCAGCATCATCATTATTATATATCACATCCTCTGTTGGTGCTTCAGGTGTGTTAGTGTCAAACAAATCATCTTCACTAGTTTGAGTTCCTAGGAATAACATTACAGTTTTTAGACCTGTCCTAGAAGATATCCATACCCATGCCTATGACAGTTCCAGGACATTATGTGAGGAAGGGGACTCATCTTCTAACCAAACTTTGTAAGAAAAAGTATAGGGTAAACTGGAAATTGTATGAGTTCAACTGCTAGAACACCCTTGCAATTAGGGAAGGTAGGGACATTGCTGTGAGCCGCATAGTATTCCATAATAAAAATAAATAAGTAAATAAATGTTGCTAGTCAAAACTTGAACACATTAACTCATAAAATAGATAACTGCACCATAACCAGTTAAAGGCTTGAAGCATATTGTGTTTACTTTATATCTGCATGTAGTCTGTTGTTGTGTTTACAATGTATTG